GTGCAGGGACTTCATCAATTCTCATGGCTACTCCCCTCTCTAGTTAAGGCTGTATCCTGCTATAGAATGGGGAAGTGATGATGTTATAGGCCCTCACCAGCCTAATGGACATCCGAATGCCACTGAGCGGAACTTGGGAGTATAGGGCGCCAAACATCCTGAAAGGCCAGAAGGATGTTTACAGCTTAGCATGCACAACAATCTCTGCAGGGACAGTGGGAGTTAAGCAAAGGCCGAGCTCTGGCACTGGGGGAGAAGACAACAGCTGTTATGCATAGGCTGTTTTTTTTTTCCAGGTATGTTTCTTCATGCTGGCGGATGTAATAGGTGATGTCAGCTCTTGTGCAAAGTGTACATGACTAACCACTTCTGTGAAACCCTCTGAGGCACTACAGATAATAGTGGACCACCCACAGTTCGTTTTGTGGTTGGATGAAGTTGACCCAAACAGACCAATAATCAAGTGTTATGCCTCTGTATATATAAGATTTTTTATTAGTTATGTTCAGGGTTTTTGGTTTTCTGGGCCATCATTTATTTATTATATGGACTCACATTGCTGCTGATGTAAGATTACATCTGTGCAGCAGTAGGAGGGAAAAGTTATGGGTGACATTTTGATTACCATTAGCTTATGTTTATCCGTGACTGCTTTACTGCGAGTGTTGAAGTGATATATAACCTGACATATTCATATATATCAAATAGTCTTTGACAACTGCCATGGAACATAACTGTCAGTCACAGCAGAGGAGAGAAGTCTTGTTCTCACATTTAAATCATTCGGTTTTTAAACTGATCTGCAGCCAGCCAGGAGAGTGCAGCAGAGGTGCTCATTCTCAGGATTTCTGCATCGAATTCAAGAAGCTCCGAACAGAAAAGGTAACAGATCAATTCTTTTTAGTTATTTTGGCAACATGTGCAAACTTCATTAAGTCTGACCCAAGGTTATTATTTCTGATAACTCTTAAAACGAAAAAGTGACAAATCTAGCTACTGTTCTGGATCATAAGAAGAAATGTGAATACTATGGTGGCAGCCAATGCAGGATGACAGCTTGTTCTGAAAAGAAAAGAGAAATCTTGCGCTGATTTGTTTTTGTGTGTTTATTAGGACCCCCAGTAGCAACAGCATAAACATTGGCTATTTTACTGGCCTATAGCCAAGGCCCCCAAAGTCACTGAAAACATCTTATTTTATTCTTAATAAACATAAACAGAGTCATAATCATTATTTAATCCATCACCAACAAGGTATTTATAGCAGGAGTTAACAAAATATCATCCTGGAAATTCCCATGACCAATGAAATCCATTTAGATGGGAGAGGTCAGTGTTTCATTCTTAACTGCCACCTTTAGGATTACTTAAACGGTGCTGTCTGATCACAAAAAGAAGCAATAGCCAAAGAAAATGGGGTAAGAAACAATCTCAACAAGCTTTAAACAACATTCAAGCAGCTATTAGGAAAGCATTCCATAACGTCTGTTTTGTGTTGCCATCTGACAAGATATATCCTCTGTATCTGTCTGCTAATATATGAAACCCAGCCTTTGCCAAGAAACAGCTAGGGAACTTGGCAAAGTAGAGCACTGTGTGTGCATCTGTTTGTGTGCGTCTGTGAATTTTTGTGTGTTTGCATACATGAATGTGTGACAGAGCAGCTGATCTTTTCCTGGCTGTTTCTAATTTGCACATCACCATAATGTTTTACAATCCCACTTTCAGTAAGCCCCTCCTCTCCCCAGTGTAACGCAGATTTAAGTCTGGGCAGACTCGAGGAGGCGCTGGGCCAGTCCCCCCGGTGATAGAGCTACAGGGAGACTTTTACTGGGTCAGATCTGTCAGTGATGTGCTGACTGAGCCCCCCCCCCGCTTTTGCCCTCTTTTGCCCTCTTTTGCCCTCTTTTCCTCTGTTGTCAGTGTGATGTAAGACTGTACTGATATACTACTACTCTATAAAAGTAGGTTATAAGAACATTCTGTTTTAGTTTTAAAAAACTAAATACTCTTTTTCAGTATAAGGCAACTTGCTGGCAATTATCCTCATCTTCAATGGCTTTACTGTACTACAAGGCAGAAGTTAATAAATGCCTCATTATTCTAGCTTGGTAACATGACTCATGGAATTCTAAGGAGAATGGCATCAGTTGCAGCCTTAACACAGACTGCATGAAGTCAGCGCTTGCAATTAGTGAGAAATGACTTATGCCTGTGTCATTAACTAAGTCTGGAACTGACCAGCAATGTGCGGAATGGGTTAAAGAGCACAAATGTCTATGATTCAAATATATGAAATCTCTGCTGTTTGCCTGCATAACGTCTGCCTCTTACTCTGGATATTAGTATGTTAGCACATATAACATGAAATTTGAAAATACATATATATAAATAAGTATAAACTCATTAGATGCCTGCAGTTTATTTAAATGTCACTCATAACAAACTGTAAATATACGTTTTAATAAGTAAAAGGTATTAGTCACACAGGCTTATAAAAAGACCAAGATCAATCTTAGAGTGTGACAAATTCATAAACACGCATTAATGCTGTGGGCTGTCTTATCTTAGTGTTTCTTCCTTACCAGCTTCTGTGCAAAACTATCCTCCTCTTCATCAAAAGTCAGAGCCAGTACCACTACCATGATGCAAATTTGGTCCAGTTCTGCACTCTGAGCTGTAGGGTCCACCCACACCCTTAATGCTTTTCATTCATTCATACAGTTTCTGACACAAGAACTGTTCTGCATGTTGATCCCCTCATAAGCTCTGAGTTACTCACATTTGTTTTCTAAGCTGTGTGGAGCAGGCACATCTCATGATCTCATGACTCTTGGACCTGAAATGAACAGTACCCACCAAAGTTAAGGGCCCTATATCTTGTGAATTCTCGGCCTTCAGTGTGTTTTACTATATTCCTGCAGTGTTTGTTGGTTAAGCTGTTCCATTCCACCCAACTTAATTAGACTTGAGGTGTTGCAAATACAAACGATGACCTGGTTCCCTTGGGGTATGAAAGATGTTATTAAATTTCGCTGCTGAATGAGATGTAATCCACTCCCGAATGCCATGTACCTACATGGATGTCATCCTGAGTTCAGGTTCTCTTTCTTTCTCTCTCTCTCTCTCTCTCTCTCTCTCCCCCCAATCCTTCCTGTCTCTTTGTTTCTCAGCTGCCAGGAGTAAAACTGCTTGTTACATAGTTTCACACTGAAAGCAATGCTGCTGCAAGAACTTGTGATTTGTGTCAGGTATTCTAACAACGCTAACAACCTGTTTTTGGTTACCTTGGGTGCCAGTATGGAGCTCTCGGCTCATGCTGTTGTACATTTATGGCAAAAATAACAAATGAAAAAGCTGGAAATACAATTTAAGATAGAGCACCTAGACAGAAAGCTATGGGTTTCAAACACAAACCAAAAGTTCACTATAAATGGCACATAGAGCTTCCAGAGTCAGAAGAAAAAGAACTGGAGCAGTTGTAGACTTGTAACTCTTTGGTGGTTGAACACCAGCTGTAGCAGGCAGGCTTACTATCTAAAGCTACCCGAGCATTAGCACACTCACCGTTTTGCAAAGCAGATCTCTACAACCTGGGGGATATGTTACCATTTGAATTTTGTCTCATCTGCTATGCAGCTGCAGTGACATGAAATCCCAGTGGCCTGCAGCTTTGCCACAAACAACTTTGTGGGATTCTGCTTTGATGAGACACCAGCATCACCTTTAAAAATGAAATGTGAAGTGTAACACACCCACTAACCGGTTTAAAACTACTGTCACATTTGAGAATATGTGATAGAGTGCAAAGGAGATATGGCTCACAAAACACACAGCAGCACTGAGAGCATGAGATTTCTACTCAGCTGTGCTTACACGACTTTTGTCAGGGAACTGGAACTTTCTTTGATCGATGGGGTTTTGTTGAGCTGATTCCATCTGCTTATTTTGTCAGCTGTGTTGTTCTTGGATCACCAAGCCAAAATACAACCATTGTGGGTTCACTGAACTAAAACTGACTTAACGCGTACAGTCCGTGATAGCATGCTATGTTGCTTGTTGAGGGGTAGGCATACACATGTTGCAATTGTCGGGTTGGGATTACGACAGATCAAGTTGGATCCATGCTGTCACTATTCTGGATTAGTTCACAGTTAAAGAGATAAAATCATGCAGTTTGTTATGTTTAGTGATTCTAATTGTGTACTTGCTGATCCAATTGCTGCTTGTTCTCTGTTAAGATGACTTTTACAACTAGATTTCTGACCATTAACGTCACAGATTTTCTGCACAAGAAAAAAATCTGCCCAAAAACTAACTCTTAAACCGGTCGCTCACTTCTTTCCCAGCCAATCACTAAGCAACAAGGACTGGTTTACCCATATCTCTATCTGCCATTTCATCCAAATTTGTCCTCAAATTTCGCAATTTCTTTAACTCTCTCCTTGAATGAGCTAAATGGTAGCTTGTATTTCTGTTGTAGTACAGTCACATACCATTTCAGGGGTTCTTGGAGATGTGACTCTAGTAGTCTAACTGCCATTTAATGTGCAGTTAGTAATTCTGTGTTTTCTTCTTTCTGACTGTCAAGACTAAGATGGAACCAGAAAATCATGCACAATGAAGTTCACTTTCATTTATTCTAATAGTGTTACAACATGGTACAATTTATTAATCTAGTGATACAAGTCCCCAACAAGAGATTTTCTGATTCCTTTAAAAGATTTTGGATCTTGCACAATTGTCATTTAGACTGGTAAAAGGTCTGTGTTGTTGTAAATAAGCTATTATATATGGGCTGGAGTTTCAATAATCTTACGGTCTGTTTCCAGTTTAATTGACTTTGATGGCAAATACAGTAGCAACATTTCAGTAGATAAAAGCCACTGGGCGAAACATTTATCATTAGTGGGGGAGATAAGGAGTGCTTTGAAGTGGCCTTTATGAGCATATTTGATTTTGCTTTGATGACAGGGCTTAATTGTTCATTCTCCATTCCAGATCTGCCGCTGGTAAATTATCAACCAGCTTTGACATGGCCAAAAGGAAGATGGATAGCATCGGGCAGAGTGGGATGGTGGCACTCATACTGCTGTGTAGTCTAACAAAGGTAGGACCGCCTGCATGCAATCAAGCAAACACGCAAATACTGAAAACACACAAACACATGATAAAATATATTTTATTTAAAAGCTGTGACAGTTTATGTTGGAAATTTTTTGAAGGATTATAAAGCTGCTTCAGGTTGGTATCTTCTGTGTAATAAATAGACTGGACATATTTGGTTGGCAATATTTCTGCATAGATGTCATATTTTCCATGGAGCGCAAATGGATTTAATGGAAGCTTGTGTATGTTAGACTCCCTTTCTTGGCGTTCTAAGTAGGCTATAATGACTGTCTTGCTTTAATACATCCCCATAGAGTCAGAATACACTTCCAAAATACACTCCAGACACAAGCTTGCACACAGATGCTTTTCCTGAAATGAAGCTCAATGTTTGCTTCAAAAAAACATGCATTTAAGCTAGATTTGGAATACCACAAAAGGGGAAACCTTTAGACATATTCTCTTATGAGTCTCCCATCAAAGCTTACTAATTGGCAAGAGTGATTAGGAACTCTTTAGGATTTAAACCATAACCATTCAAAAAATGATTTGCTCTGCTGAATTTGACTGTTCGGTAGTGTTCATGCCTAACATATATTCTGTGAGACACTGGCCAGGACCTATTTGTACAAATCTCTCTTGATCAAAACAAGAACTGAAAAGTTTTATTTACCTTTTCTTTCCATCCTTGCAGATTTTTGTGAAGGCAAGCCTGGAGGTCAACGAAACCCATCAGCAGCATCCAAACGTCTACCATGACATGGGAGTCACCAGGAACAAGATAGTTACAGCACAGTTTGAGTGCTATCAAAAGATAATGAAGGACAATACCCAGAGCAGAGAAGGTAGCTTGTTATGTTTCATGTTTCTGAACTTTACAGCAGACTAGGCTGAATCGCAGCAAGGAGTAACTAGAGTACACTGCTGAGATACACTGGGCTTAATATATTCAGTGTAAATAGGACAGCATCAGTTAGAATTTGAATTGTTGAAGGACGTCAGTGCTAAATAATGAATACATTTAAAAAATATATATATATATATATACTAACTAGAGCGCGACCCATATGGGATTTTTGATACACGGAAATAGATACCAATTTTAGGGGGGAAACATTTATCGTTTACTGATATGATGGCCGATATAGTGAATTTTAGGAATATAGGAAGGAAAATATTATAAATAAATTGTGAATGTTATGTGGATTGCGCACTGATATGACGATGCAAAGGTACTCAAAATGCTCATTTGTTAAACAAATAACTTTATTAAAGAATATTTAAGTTAAATAATTAAACATGTTAAATGACTTAAGATATACATTGCCAACCAGTTGGCATTGCTGAGAGCTGCTTCTTCGCTCTTACTCTGTGTGGCTTGCTACAGTATTTTTAATCGCAGTGCACTCTGCTGGATAAACTTTGCAGTGACGCCAATATATTATCCCAAGTATTTTTTCTGCATTATATAGCTTAAAAAGTTTTCATATCAGCTCGTATCAGTAAAATATATGTAGATACCGATACAATAGCAATATTTCTGTGATAGGCCAATACTGGTGGATAATATCATCCAACTGTTATATCTGTTGGGCTATATTTATTCTGTTGGGTTATATTTATTATTATTATGATTATTATTACATATTTGACGGATCACTGACAGACCATAGCTCCTAACAACTTTTCTCTGGTTTTAGAGCCCATGTGTAACCGCACTTGGGATGGCTGGCTGTGTTGGGACGACACCAAATCAGGTATTGTCTCAGAGCAGCACTGCCCGGACTACTTCCAGGATTTCGATCCTTCAGGTAAGATTTGTGGTTTACAGTAGTAAAGGTGCGTTTGTGCCAAGCGTGTTTGGTTCCAACAATTTCATTAATTTAATTTAGTATTGTACTTCCGTGAAGTGCAGGGGCTTTACAGAGACAGATCAATGAAATAATGGTCACAATCGAAGGCAGAGGCAGAGATATCCTGTCTTTTACATTGGGTCAAGTGTATTATTCAAACTTCCCATGGCAAATAAACTCTTCATGTATAAAATTGGCCCATTTAAACTGACACAGCATGACATCTCTCTCTGTTTATGATGCTAGCTTTGGATGAGCATGTATTAATTGTGTTTCCTTTTGTGCAGTGGTTTATATGGATGAATATATTTATAACAGTAAATTAGGTTTAATTGCTGGAAGATTCTGAGCCATAACTTTACTACAGCACAACAGGATATGCACATTTATAATCAGATTCAGTCCCTCTAATCACTGCCCTCAGTAGTTTCATGAATATGAATGTGTTTGTTTCATGGAGTTTCAAAACATGATTTTAACTTCATGGGGCTACGGGGGACATCTGTTGAATCTCTTTTTAAAGTTTACTTTATTTCAAATAGCCCCCTGCCTTTTGATTTTATGTTTTACTTACTTAACCCCTAGGTTTTCTGCCTGCTTTGCTGCATATAAATACAAAGAAATATAGTCTAAGATACAGTCAACTGGATTGAAATATTCACAAAAACACATCACAGGTATAATTTTTACTTGCAGAGATGGTTACAAAGATTTGCACCGACAGTGGTCATTGGTTCTTGCATCCGGAGAGCAACCGGACATGGACCAACTACACCCGCTGCAATGAACACACTAATGAAGGCAGAGTGGTAGGTCACGTTATGAAATGCCATTAACAGCATATCGAATGTAAAGAAGCACTGATCTTTTAGTAGATCTCTGGGCAGTTACTATATATTTGCAGTGATGAGATTTTTCCATATAATTTTCTAAATAACACAAATGTCACATTTCAGTTAACATGAGATGATGATTTAGAAAATTCATGTTTCTGTAGTGGGGCTGAAAATGTGCAGTTTGTCCTGAGGGTCGTCCAAGACAAGAAAACATAAAATAAAATAAAAACATGGGGTCATCAAGGCAATGGAACATAATCAAAATAGTCCATCCTCCTGGGGATGCCTCTGGGGACCCCAAAAATGCAATGGCAATCTACTAATTACAACATATGTGGAGTGTAGGTGGAAACCTTGGCCTGAAGGCGGTGGGTGCTAGCAGAAAGGTCATGGGATTCAAACAGTAGAATTAATCATCCGGAGATTGAATCTGGCCTTTGCAGTATAAATTATTCCTCAGAGATCCCCCTGAATGAACGATTGAGGGGTCATCAAAATCACTGCATTACAACCTTTAATTAACTTAAAATACACTTTTACATGAGTTCTACTTCATCTTTCCATGAATTAGGGATTAACAGTAGGAGTAAAAGATATTAGCCGTCTTTAAGAGTGTTTTAATATTGTCTTGCAACATTAGCAGTCATTAAAAGAGCCACATAATCACGTTTGTGTCTGTTTTTCCTTCCAGACTGCAATGAATCATTTTTATTTAACTGTCATTGGACATGGGCTGTCACTGACCTCCCTCTTCATCTCCCTCGGAATATTCTTCCATTTTAAGTGAGTCAACCAACCTCATCTTTACTCTGCTTTATAGACAGATAGTTTGTATTCTTTGCATGGATTAATAGCCCCCTGATGTATTGTCGCCTTTCTCTTCTTGCAGGAGTTTAAGTTGCCAAAGGATCACACTTCACAAAAACCTCTTCTTTTCTTTTGTTCTGAACTCTGTGATCACTATCATTTGGTTGACAGCAGTGGCAAACAACCAGGAGCTGGTGCAGAGGAATCCAGTGAGTTTCTGTATTTATTGATATGTTGTTTTTATTATCAGGGTAAGAGCTGCTCTAATTGCTGCACTCTTGCTGACGGGGGGGTTTAATAGATTTTAATAGCTAGATTATTTCAGTTATTTCACCTAACTGTGAACATACTGCACAGGGAAATAGAATATGTACCAAGCGCCATCCACATTCATTGTGTGTGTGTTTCCTTCCTCAGACGAGCTGTAAAGTGTCCCAGTTCATTCACCTGTACCTGTTTGGTTGCAATTACTTCTGGATGCTGTGTGAGGGAATTTACCTGCACACTCTCATTGTTGTGGCTGTCTTTGCTGAGAAGCAAAACCTGATGTGGTACTATCTTTTAGGCTGGGGTAAGTCAGGAATAATGTGTCACTTGTCAGTCACTTGTTCTGTTGTAATAAAAATAAATCATTTTTCATCAGATAATGTCGGAATCTCTTCGTTCTAGTTTTTTAAAACAGAGAAAACAACGTCTCATGCAACTTTGATTTTTGTTAATTTTGTTATATATTTATCATTCCTATCATAAATAATACAACTGTTCTTACCAAGTCAATTGCTGAAGTCTCAGAAGGCAGCTGCATTGCTAAAAAGAAGTTCAGCAGGGCCTATTTGGAAATGAATGGTCAAATTGTTACTCATGCTGTCAGCCATAAACATCTCCGACGTTTTACAGACTGGTTCAAGTTTGACCACGTTTTTACAATAAATGTTTGCACAGTTTTCCTGCACATTAGTACTGACATGCATTGTGCATTCAGTGGGTAGATATTTGGCTTGCCATTCTTCTTGCCCTATTTGACTTCTTGTAGCAATGCTGCTATGTTTGCAGAAATTGAAAGTATGTGATTAGGTTAAAAAGTTGTAATGAACCAGAATTGTACTTTAAAGGCTGACTCCAAGACTTAAAGCTTAAACTGCTTCTTTTGCTTTGTTTGCAGGCTTTCCTCTCATTCCGGCTTGCATACATGCTATTGCTCGAAGTTACTACTACAATGACAAGTGAGCATTCAAGGGCATGGTCTATTACTGTTAATTATGCAGTTATAAATTATATTTATATAAGTGGTAAGATATATTATATGACAGCCAGACAACAACAACAACAACAACAACAATAATAAAACTGCTAATAGTAATTATAGAGGAAAATTGTATAAAGATACAGTGAAAAACGATTAAACTCCTGCCTGCAAATGGATTTAAAATGTAATCTGCAGCTGATTCTGTGAATGTGGTAAAGATTATCTGCTGTTTGTAGACTTAAACAAAGCATTAAGCTCTAGCTCCTAGCGTCTTTTATCAGTCAAGCTGTTCATGCTACTTCATTTCTCAGAAAACCCATTGATCTGCATCATTGGTCAGCTGTCATGTGATGCATAGATACTATTGTGTAAACTGTTCTCTGTTGTCTTCTCTTCTCTGCTGAAGCTGTTGGATTAGCTCCAAAACATCGCTACTCTACATCATCCATGGTCCCATCTGTGCTGCTCTTGTGGTGAGAAGTTATAGTATTTTTCCTGACACCAATCAATTACAGCAAAGTAAACCACAATAATGTCTGTTCCTTTCACTGATTTGTTCCATATTTCCCCCGGTTGACTCTTCTTATTGCGCAACGGGCAAAAGGAAAAAACTTATTTTGCCTTCTTCCGAGTCGACACTGTTGGGGGCCTGAAATCAAGACACAGTTTCATTGCGTACATAATTGCGTTTATCTTGCGAAATCAATGCATCTGTCCCTCTGAGGATCCACCCACTGGTCCCCAGCGCATGTTGCATTCTAGGAATTCACCTAATCAGCACAGCCGGGCATGCTTCAGCGAAAACTGGTCCCATAAGACTCTCGCAGGACTAAATGTTCAGCACTCAAACAACCTCTTACAATGATTTGTTCAAGTTTCAGGCCCAAAAAAGGTCTTCTCATACTGGACAGTTTGGGAATTAAATTATGTGGTTCCAGGTTTACCAAAATCATCAGAGCATCCATTTAGGATATAGAGTATGTGCCTAAAACATTTATAGTGTTCATAGGGACTGTCATGGATATGATTTCCAACCTGTGACCATTGTAAAATACCATCCTGTTCTTTATACCTTCATACTTTTGCCTTAAACTCTCAGCTCAAAGGCTTATTTCTGTAGTATGGTACGATTAACTGGCACATATTTATAAGGTATTAACTTACAACTCATCCTAAGAAAGTCTTTAACCAGATGACAGCAGGTAATAGGCCGAATATGATGCAAACCATTGATTAATCCTCTCTGCTGCTTTCCTCCTAGGTCAATTTGTTCTTTCTCCTAAATATTGTCCGAGTGCTCATCACCAAACTGAAGGTGACCCATCAAGCGGAGTCTAGTCTCTACATGAAAGCCGTGAGAGCCACCCTTATCTTGGTGCCCCTTCTGGGAATTCAGTTTGTCCTGCTTCCCTACAAGCCAGGGGGACGGGTCTCCTCTGAAATATACGACTACATCATGCACATACTAATGCATTACCAGGTGAGACGATGGTCACCAGTGAGAAGGTTTGAGTTGATGGGTTTCTTTTAAGCAGCACCTACGGTAATGTTTTAGCTGTGATTGTTACCAGCTTTTTATAACATTTCCATTTAAAAAAATACAAAAACAGCTGTACATGACAGTATATCAACGCCCAGAGAGTATTTTTAGAATGGTATTCAAAGTTTACGGTCGGTTGCATACACCGCTGTGTTCTTGTGCATTTGTGAAGTCCTCTTTGTCCTTGTGACATACATAAACCATTTATTAACCATTCCCTTCAGCCTCTGACTTTGTTTATATTGTAGCGTAGGGAAGAACAGCAGGAAGGAGGGCATGAATTATCTCAGCTGAAAGGGGGGTGTAATCAGTTTGATGTTATTGAGGTGTTATCTGATCATCTTGTGCTGTCCTAGCATGGGCAGTGCAGGAAAAACATCTTGAGCAATAGGCTGAATCAGGACACCAAATGTATAAAGTTTCTCTGCTTCACGGAATCTTAGACCTTAAAAGACAAAGACCAATCGCTTATATCGTCTCTCTATCTCTTGTGTTTCCTTTTTTGGATTTCAGGGTCTGCTGGTGGCCACCATCTTTTGCTTTTTCAATGGAGAAGTAAGATGGGGTTATGCCCTTTCATTATGTTTTTAGACCTGCACACACACATGCACACACTCATCCACACTTCCCCTTTGTAATCAGGGATAGACCAGGCAATTTCCTCTGCATAACCCTCTGAGCAGGATGGTAAACTAGAGGAATGTCTTGACAGGCTCAGTCCTCCAGGGCTTTGCTAAGGATTAAAGATTATTTACTGTTGGAAACAAGCTGTGGACAGTACACTGATTCCTATCAATTATGCAGGTGATTGATCTGCATACAAAATAGCATGTATTTGCCCGAAGTGATCATACATACAATTCAACTCTTAATGCTGTGAAAGTAGGTTAACGCATAATGGAGCTTTACTGCTATGGGATATAATTTGATTCAAAGTCTATATAAAACCTCTTATAATAATCCTTATCTTATTATATACTCAGAGAAACTGTGCCATTGTTATGCCTATAGATAGGAACGTAGGCACATAAAATTTATTTATGTAGGTCTTTGAAGCACTTTCTGCCAACTATGTTTTGATCAGAGAGAATTTACAGCAAATGAGAGACATATTGATGACATTATGTGAAAACATTTTGAGAAATAGATAAATTTGTATGTAAGATGAGAAGCCAAGCCAAATCAGCAGGTTCCCCCTTCTCCATACGTAACACTCAGACAGGAAACTGATATTGATCTTCTAACTCTTGCAAAAAGAGCAAATAAGTGTATTTCCCAAAGCACTGAATTTTTACTATAAATGCATAAAGCATTGTTCTGTATCATATAATGATTCATTAGCTGCCCCATTAATATGTGGAATGTGGTCTCTCTGGTTAGGTCCAGGCAGTTCTGAGGAGGCATTGGAACCAGTATCAAATCCAGTTTGGCAGCAGCGTAGGAAACCACTCAGATGCCCTGCGTTCAGCCTCCTACACGGCTTCCTCCATCACCGAGGTACAGGGTTGCTACACCATCGACAGCCACACAGAACACATGAACGGCAAGGGCTTCCACGACGCAGAGGCCTCTATGTTAAAGTCAGACAGCCCCTTCGCCTGACAGCAACACTCTCCCCCAAGCCCTGCTCGCCCCTTCTCCTCCTTAAAAACTGCAGCATGTTTGGCACTCCGTGGCAACCAGGGAAACTCGCCTCTTCCTAGATACAGTGTCAGAAGCAGTGAGTGAGGAAAAAAGGATTTTATACCCAAGCTGTCACCCATCTGAAATAAAGTGTCTCCTCTCTGTCACATGGACACAGGCCCTGTAACCGTACTGTATGGTGAGCTCAATACAACTATTCCTGCGCTGTGTTTTGCCTACAGTCTGCAACTGAACTGCTTCACTTGGACCTGTGATTCTGACAAACAATATTGTTGTGATCTTTCAGCCTGACAAAAATGTTTTTAAGTGGATGAATATTAACTGCTTGACTGTCCTTTGTGAGGTCATGTTGTGCACAAAAAGCCTTTGGTTACACTGTAAATTCTATTGATATGGTTAGTGCCAAACTAAAAAACCCTTGCCTGCCTCATTTATTTTTTATATTCAATACAGAATTAGAACGAAGATAGGATGTCTAACAGGTGCATAATAATATATTAAAACTATATTATATCTTTCACATGTTAAACTTAATTTATCTGAACATATTGTCATTTATTAAATGAAGATGAAATAAATACCACACAGTATTTATTAAAGATTTTTCAAAATTAGTCAAATACCAATATGACTTGTTGCCAGCTTCACATACAATTCCAGTGTATTTGTTCAATGTTTGTTTCAGTGTTTGTTTCAGTGTGTGCAGTTAATGTGTGCAGACGATTTACAGAATCATACCATTAGCTTGCAGGCTTCATTTTTAGAGATTTCATCATGCTAATGTTTGAACATGTTTAAGTGATCCTTACTGACATGTGCACCCTTTAAACCACATGGTAGGTTGTAATGTAACTTGTTAACACAATAATATCACGAGAAGCCATCATGATATCTCAAGTACTCCAATGTCTACTCATTACACCATTGAATGTAACAGTGAAGTTTGAAGACCTGGTTATGGACAAATATGCATCACATTCCCATTCACTGCTGTCTTTAGCCTTACTCTTCTCAAATGACTTGCATAGAACCAATATACTGTATAAGCATTTCCAGGTGTTCAGACTGAAAACATCACTGTGTTAAAAATGCAGAGGACTGTGTTAGTGTGCATAAAAGTGAGGAAAGGAAATACGATCTAGAAGCTTAGTTTGAGTGATAGATCCATGACTTTTCAAAAGTCAGTAGGGATATTCCGAGTCCATTTTAATATTCACCATTGAAAGAGTTACTGTAATAATTATTTTTGTACTAGCTGCTTTATCAGTCCCTTTGTAGTGCAGAAACATTTTTACAAGTTGGTCACAAAAACTACAGTGAGTAAGTTCAGCCAAATCTAATATATTTAGCCAAATCAAGTGAGTATTTCCGTGCTGGCTAGTCATGTGTTGGTTTATTGTAGGTGGTTTTTTCTGGGAAAACAAAAATGGCAAGTTTCGTAATAAAAAGGGACATAACTTAAGGCGATACCCAGCTTATTTTGGCTTACTTTTGGCTGAAGATTGAGGATTTTGCACATTGTGTTACTTATCATGCACAGTTTATTCAGGCTACAAATGGAATGTCTCACAGCTGAAAAGGACGAACAATTACAGTGACCAACAAACCTTTAAACAAAAATGTGCGGATTGCTGGAACCCGCTGTGACAAAGTAGTAGACCTCATTGAAATGAATCAGGGAGCTGGGTTTTTTTGCACACAGTGCTAATGTCAGTCTGAACACAGCCTTATTCAGAAGTACATGTGATGATATTATAATGTCTCATTAGAAGTACAAAAACAACAAAAAAAACAAACAAAAAAACAATAATAATACTGCAAAAAACATTCTCTGTAAAGCATTTAGCTAAAGCGGTCTGTATCTAGACCTGGTCGGAAATCATTGCACTTATCAGTCATGCTGTCATTTCATCCACCCAGACCCAAAACCTTTCTTTACCTTTTTCTTCATTTTACAACATTTTCAGCACATCGTCCACAATGCTGGGAACATAAGTCACTATCAGATGATGTAAATATTTTGTAAATCTAGCATTTCTGAAAACAGGATAAGTCGAATGTGTGTGTGTGTGTGTGTGTGTGTGTGTGTGCATGATTTATATATACAGTATTTCTGAACACATTTTACTTTATTCAACCATGAAGCAACCTTCTTATGTGACAGTGTGTGGGACGTTGATAAAGAGGTTGTTTGTTCTACTTCTGTGTTTTAAAAAGAGAGGGGTGGGAAATGGGTTAACAAGCTTGCAACAAGCTACTGCATCCGTCTGCCCGTGCATATTATTTGTCATCATCCTGATTCCTTGGTAGATTCTGTAACTTTTCTTTTTTTTTTTCCTGTGTTTGAAAGTAAGGAAAGAAAAGTACCTCTTCTTTCTGTGTAAGTGATCCATGCCATATTGTCAGAACACACATAAATATGTTTCCTGACACTGATGTAGGTCTGATATGCTATCATTTAATCTTCCAAAGGGATTTGTTTTGTCTACCATTTCAAGGAAGAGGGCTGAACACCAAAACATACCATATGTGTCACAGTTTTCAATGTTTATTGTTTTTTCTTTATGTTTCCTATATATTTTCTTTAACCTGATCATTTCAGATACGCAGTCCAAAATTCCCATCTTCCAACAAAATGTCTTGGATGAGTCAGCCGTCATATTGCTTGCTATCAATTTTTTTTATGATCATTTTTGAATGGCTACATTTTCTCATCAGTCTCTAATACAACTGTGATGACTTAAAGTGCTTGATTCTACACGCAACAGGAAAAGTGACACATTTTAAAGAAACTTGTGTAATATTTTCACTTTTGAAAAAGTATACTTGACTGCTATTTTTTGAGGTAAATTTCAGACACAGGAATATATTCACAGTGTTCTAGCAACAGGTATCATGTGAAATCAGGCCACTGTATCACACATACAGTTTGTACTTTTTATGTTAGATCTGCAGGACAGTTTCTCCATTTAATCACTAACTATAGAGCCTACATTTATGGCTGCAAGTGATTCATGTACAATGACAGCAATATAAAGTATTCATAAATCAAGTCCTTTACTGTGTAGTGATGCATCATAATCATTTAAGCCACAGTCATTTTATCACAACTGTGGAAAGGCCTTTTGGTAAATGTAGTAACTCCTATGTACCATTTAAGTTGTGTATTTATGCGTGATTTTTTTTCCATATGACTCTCCAAAAAGGTTTGTGAAGTCCCCAGTGACATGTTGTAAAGTATGACAAAAGCGTTATGGACAATGTCTGTAGTTTTTGTTAATACTGTACTGTATTTAACTTTGGTAGTCTTGACACATTGACTCCACACTGCTGTTTGAATGTAACTGGTTGTGTATTATTCTCTTGATGTGAAAAACATATATATATACATATATATATATATATATATATATATATATATATATATATATATTTACGTACAATGTCTCTTTTTTTATTATTTCACTGAATTAGACAATATTGTTTTCCTGTATGTATCTGCATACTAATACAGTACAGAACAGCACCAGCCGTCAACTCTGGTACTTTTATTTTAAATGTTTTGTCTTAATTGTGAAACTACTATATATATTGCTGCACACACACACTGTCACACATTTTATTATAATTTTCCTTTGGACTTTTTGTGAAGGTTGGTCTAGGCCAGGTATACTGAATTGCTCGAGTTTCATGTGTAGAAAAAAAAACCACTGATCATCTGGTAGCAGACTTAACTGCGGTGCTGGAGCTATAGACTATCAAACTCAATGATGAAAAGCATCTGCACACTCAAATATGTGCAAATATTTATTTTGCAGGCTTCACTCAGAGACCTTCAAAATTGTGTATCAAGTGAAATCAGCAGGTTAAAAGAACATTGCTTTATTAGTCTTAATGCAGAACACTTGTGTCAATCAGTTGGGCTTGTGTGTCATCAGTTGAATGAGACAAATCAAGACACACTGAGTGCATCGAACATTCGAGATTCACAATATGCACAAGCAGAATACAGATAATATAAACAATAGCGAGAAATTGGCCTCTGACGGGAGGTTTGCAGAATAAATAAAATTATTGTTTAGATTTGAGTGTGCGGATGCTTTTCTTCATTCGGTTAGAGTTTCATGTTTACAATGTGTTTTCAGGAAAATCTTAACTGCATTAGTAAACTACTGTAAATGTACCAGTAAATGAAGAGCACAAACCAAATTTGTTTCATTCCTCGTCAAAATGTCGTTACCAGTGCAGGTACTTTTTCTGGTAAGGTTATTAAAGGTCCCTTCTCAATCTTCAACAACACAAGCAAATCCATTTGTAGAATGTCATATATGTTTGTCTCACTGAGTGTGTATAATATGAGTTTAGTGTCACAGTCAAGTCATTAAGAACACAATGTAACTGATTTTTGTTGCTGGTTAAACACCTCTGTGGCTCTGAGGTCGGGCGTTGTAACGAGAAACATCTGCTGCACTGGCAGAGAGTCCCCACAGTGACTGTGAAAAGGAACAAGCTAGCTTTCTTTTTATGTCCTTCAAGTCTCCAATCCCTTTTATAGTGAGTAGTTTCAGTTTACTGTGAGGAGAAATGTTCAACATGTCATTTAAGTGTATAGATAGATATATTGTATGGTTAGACACCTGATACATCTGGAAAAGGCAGTTTGCATACATTGGATGAGTGTAAATACATGTTTGCTTTGGAGTTATGCAGCTGTACCATACTTTCTACCTGCAAGCCTGCACCTCAGCAGAATATTGTCATTTGTTCTCCTTTTTTCTTCAGTACATATTTAACCTTTATTTATAAGTTGCATATTTATACATAAATATTTTCACTTAATACTGTACAGTGACCCTACAGGTCACTACACAGGTGGTCGGATATACGTAATATATATACTTATATAAGACATAATCAAGGTTTAAGTCAACACAGTACACATTGCAGGATTTTTACTATTTTAGTCTCTCTGATCTTGACCTTTTGAGGACTTTCAAAAAAATTCCAACAACACATTTTTGGCCATAGCAATAGGTGGGTGATAACAGTATTATCAGTAAGAGTATTATCGTTTATTGTGTCATCGTATGTTTGTATCCTTACAAAGTTCTTATGTGGCAATGTTCTGGCTCATGATTTACTGCTCAAATGTCTGAATAAATGGAAGTTAAATTAGCATCAGATTAATTATACATGACTTGATTTTTGTTTTCTAGTAACCAAAACAACAAAGAAAGTTTGACTGTTGGTATGAACTGTACGTCATGTGATTTCTGAATACTAAATATTGCAACATATCTCTTATGAAATATGTGATGTCCTTCACAGTTTTGTCTACATCAGCCAGCCTTAACCCTGACCCAGAATAACATTCTCACTCTTGTAAGCAGCTTTGAGTGCCACACCTCGTTGAAATTCCTTTCACTGCACATTAATTTGGAATTTGGAAATAATATCATACATTTAAAAGCAAGACAGTGTATGACTTAACACTGAAAATACATCAATAATACTGGTACTGTAATAAATAAAATGCTCTTCTGAAATGATAAATTATTAATGAAGATTGGTCATCATGGAATATTTAGTGATGTAATATAATTTATGATATTGTCAGATATATTGATGCAGGACTGCTAGATTATTCATTAGTACAGCATATTTTGTCACTGCATATATCACCAACACACTCCACCCCTAAGCTCCAGAAACTACACTTTTGCATGTGTGCACATTCACAAAGAGATCCTAATGATTTGTTGTGATCGTCTTTTCTTCCAGTATGTCCTTTAAAACAATGAATAACAGAGTTCCAATGTAATATTGAGTCGCCTCGCCTCGAGAATGCATTCATGCTGTCACCTCACAAGCAGCTCTCAGATGAGTTTAAAAGTTCATTCTCTCTAACTAGTCAGCAGAACAACATAAGGCTAAATACACATTTCCAACACCAGCCCCCTCTATCCCATTTTGTCCAATTATAACTCCCTGTACCAGTCATTTACTACCGCTCCACTGCCTCCAACCAGCCTGAGCTAACATGCGGAATTTCTTATGACCCTTATCTAGCTTTTCAGCATGTGTAAGCTTAGATCTAGGTCAGTCACCTTAGCAAAAGTTGTAAAGATGTAAGATTTTCACTCAGTAATGAAAATGTTTGAGGCACACATTTCCTGCAGTTCTATGTGAACAGACATTTCGTGTCTTTTTCTCTACTGCTGGTGGCTTGTCTCCCTCTTACGTGACCTGAATAAGTAAGGCTGCACACACCACTGGCTGGTAAATAGCTAGGAGAGGCTGCTTTAGGGCGCTGTCGCCTGCACTTAGCCTCAAAAGCAGTGATACATTGTATGCTGCACAAAGTGCAACACGGGGGCTATTGTTCTCACATTTACACTTTCTGACTGGAGTGAGATTTTTTTTCCACCACACAGATATATAAACCCAGATGAGGATTACAGCACCGCAAATAATGCCTTCAAATATTCCAACAAATGCTAACATTTGTTCTACAATTTTGTTGAGCACCTTTAAAAATAAGCAATTGCACCCTTTTATCCAAGCACTGTCCTTATACTCTATAAAGATACTAGAGTGGAATTTGAGTTAGTCAAAATTTAACGGTAAGCACATTTCAAAATTTGACTCTTAAAGTCACATATGTTCACTATTGCGCGCTATCAGCATGCACCAACGATGTGCAGCTAATTTGCCTGAGACTGACAGATCAAACTATGACCTCAGAACTCACTGGAACTAGAACCCTTCCTTTCCCTCCAGGTGCTCTCCTTTTCCATCTCATATCTCCAGTTTGTGGGGTAGATTCAAGTGCACGTTTTAAAGTTAAACACCCCCTTCAGCTATGCATTAAGACACCTACAAATTGGAACAATAATGTAAACTTCCATACTGAAATCCTTAAAAAGGCATCTCCTTCTACCTTATTAAAAATTTTAGGGTCTATAAATATGCAAATTCTGTTCATTTTTTCAAATTTTGTTTTTTTGCTGGACACAAGTCCATTCTCAGTGTATGTGCACTGGCAGGTTCAAGTTTCTACATCACACTTGTATGAGTTGCAAATTGGACCAGGCTTGACTTGAAACTATTTGTGCTGTCACAATTCAAAGTCAGATTTTCCAACCCGGGTTGAATTTTCAGTGAGCACAGACACTTTCCACTTTCAGCAGATGACTGTGAAAACATCCTTCTCATGTCACACTCTGCTCATATATTCTTCTGCATAGCGCAAACATCCAACAGTAGGAGCAAGAAAACAAACCTCCACAGATGTGTCTTCACCTCAATTTATGGTGTCTGTAACTTTCTTTAATACACATTAAATTAATTTTGTGTTCTGTCTCAACATATTTTTTCTCTTCCTTTAGTCTTAAGTGCTGAGAAACAAAAATTGTATAAAAATGAAATAGATACCATACAAAAAGAAAACATTTATTTATAATGCAATGTGGAGTCTCAGTGTTTTTATTGTGGACCCAACATGTTCTTGAACTGTTCTGTTGATTGTCTTCCCATCTACCTACCTAACTTGTCTACCTAAGGGCAAATGAAGACTGATCAAAGGCTCTCAAAATATAGAGATGAGAGAAATTAGTTGGAATTGCATTCCAGACAGAGAAAACACCTGCAAAAAAATGTTACACCTGCAAGTACCTCATTAGACCAAAATGCACTGCGGCCATGGGAGATGTTGCATTCCTCACCGTGATTCACAACAGTACTAGCACATGGGCTTCCCATTGAGGACAAAAATGTTCCCCATACATAGGAGTACAATGGCAAGACGGGTTTGATTCATCTTAACGCGACAATGTAGGCTCAACCCGTCACTGCTCCACACTGAAAAAGCTCCACAGGATGAGAAGGCGCCAATGTGTGTGCTTGTCGGTATCTTATCACACCCATCTAGCACCCCTCCATGACAGCAGAGGAAATGGAGACGAAGGGAGGCCTTTAACTTAGTGAAAACATTTACCCTGACATGTACTGAAAGCTGCTGTTGTGTATATGTAGGAGAACAGCCAACGTCACGGAATCTCAGAAATTACTATCAACAGGTCAGACAAGCGGGATTTAAAAGAATGTAGCCTCAGCTTAGGACAGGTCTGAGTCAGGGAACCAAGACTAAACGTTTACTTTTTTTTATGAAGATCATCTTGTCCTACAAGTATTTAGGGGGTACTTATCAGTGCCAAGTTTTCATTTTATATTTAGACAACTTGGGACTCATTTGTGAAACATCTGTGCACTCAGATTTTATCTTGGCTTTTGTGTATGCACAAATTAAGAACTTTCATGAGATTCATGAACATTTTCATTATTATAAAATAGTAATTGAATGGGTAAGAACGTGTCAGCAGGCTGTGAACTGATCTTGAATTCAGTTATCCATCCATCCATTCATTCAGATTTTCAGGGTCATGGTGACAACAGACAAGCAACCCAGACATCCTTTTCCCCAGCAGCTTCCTCCAGCTCCTTAATGAGATCCCCTAGTTCCTATTGTTTTCTAGAACCTATACGACGCTAGTCAATACATGTTTGAAAAGCAAAAACATGACACCACTTGAGACTGTGCCTAATGCTGATTTTGAAAGGGCACAAATGACCAACCATTTGTCTATACAACTCAGCACTTGTTAATTATAATATCGCCACCTTGAGCTGTCCAATGATGTAAATGCAAGTTGTAACGCACAAAATGTGATGACCAAAACCTCCTGAAGGCCTGTGGTACTCTCCAACAGTCATATATGTCATTTTGGGAATCATTGGCAAACAACTTGTTTTGTCGTCTGTTGAAGAATGCGTTCATATTCCTGTTAGGAAATATGAAATGTTTATCCTACTGTATTAAATAAACAGGTTTAATCCTGGTGTACGCCACAGTCAGACTGGTTTAAAGAACAGACATATTGCAGTAATTTGAGTTATTACTTGAGCAACGTAATGTACCAGGAAATTGAGCTTGACACTGTCTGACCTCTTCCCAGGGCTCTTTCTCTGCTGTATCTCTGTATCTCTCTCTGAACCCTCACAAACTTCTCTTCATAACTTCCCAGCAGGGGCCTCCTTAGGATCACAGCATAGACAGGTGCAGATATCTGAGAGTGTTGCTGGTGCTTCTCTCCCTCTGACTGTGTGTGGGGTGAGGGGTTCACCAAGCCTTCCCATTCCTTGGGAAACACCCAGGGGGCTTTGGTTAACTGGATGTGATACATGGAGGCAGTGCAAAGTTTTCTGTGAGTCAGTGATGATTTTGTTTTAAAAAAAACTAAATAAATCAAATAAGAACATTTAAAAAAAGTCTGTGTGTGTGTGTGTGGGGGGGGGGTTATTTAAGAATTAAATTGGGGTACAGTTTCAGAGGTATTAAGATGTAAAAAGTCCTGCTTCTACAGGTCCAGTGACTTTTGTCGGAGGAGGATTGGTTGACTGACAGCTGGAGTAGATAATCAACAGGAAGCGGAGATCTTATTTTTTAGGAGTTTGAAGGATGTGACGTGAGTAGGATACAGTTGCATTGGCTGGGTTTTGTTCATCTCCACCTGTTTGCGATGAGCTGTAAAATGACTATTACACAGTACAGAATACATTGTCAGTAAAACCAGAAACACATGGGCTCTTGAGAAACCCATTTCTTTAATTCACAGAAATACTTTGTTACTGTCACTGTTGTTTACCCAAACACAAAAAAGGTGGAAAAGAGTACAATGGGAGGTATGGAGTAGGAGTTGGAAAATTTTGGTTCACATCTGATCCGTATTCAATCCGCCAGGAGTGCAAAACCATTGCGTTGCATGCTTTTGTACCTTTTCACTCTACTGACTGAGCAATCAACAGCAGATGTTTATTTCTGATTAATTTTGCACTCATGCATGCAGAGCACCATATTGCACAGTTGGAAAGATGTTAGCGCTCAGCTTTAATTTGTGACTTCAATTTTTATTTGTGTTAAAAACAAGGGAGGATTACATTAATATACCTGTAGACAAATGGCCTCATCTTGACATATTCACCATGCTCATGAATACTTTTTCTCTAAGTTTCTGTCAGCAGCTGGCAGCTTTATTGGTCAATCTGTGAAACTGTGCTATTTCTGTGGGTCTATATCCAGCTTGACGAGCTTCCAGGAAGTAGCTAATGCACATCAGCCAGAAAGCTGTTTG